TGGCAGAGGGCCCCCCTCGGCGACGGCAGCAGCTGCACTCCAGGGCAGGATGTACCTGATGGCCTCAGTCTGCTTTGGGCAGCAGAGAACTGCTGGGCAAAGTTCTCCACCGTGTCGCCGAAAAGGCCGGTCTGGGACACATGTGCGTTCAAGACTTGTGTCTTGTCTGTCTCACGCATGTCGGCCAGACTCCTGGACCACCATAGTGGACGTCGCACGACCCAGAGACCGTGCCGTAACCTTCGTCGCTCGTAGCGCGAGGTCCGTCGCAGTGCGGAGTTTTCTGAGAACTTCCGGGTTCTGAGAACCCTCAGTGCCTTGGCCTGGTGCACTTGCAATAACGCCGTAGCGTGTAAGGCGGAGGCAGCTTCTCCACAGGCCGTATAAGCATCGCTGGCCAGTCGAGTACCTACAGACCCGGGAGGGGAGGCACAGTTCTCCCTGCCAGTTGGACACAACTGCATCGCAACCGACCGCTCCACCGGGGGACCCTTGTAACCCCCTAGCTGCACCACCATCGAGGGTGGTGAGGGAGGAGGAACCAGCAGATCGGTTTCTGACAGTAAAAGGTGTGGTCCATGACCTGGTGAGCTCCTCATGCACCTCCGGGAAGAAAGGCACCAAGGCGGGGCGCTGAGAACCAGCGCGGACCACCCCGAGAACCAATCGTGCAACCTTTAGGGCTCGGGACACGGTCAAAGTCTTCACTCGAGCCCTACCCCTACGCGGCCCGGGAAAGCATAGCCATTATTTCTGGATCCGATCCAAGCATTGCTACGGTCCCGGAGGAGAGCAGCGCAGCCGAATCTTCCTCTCAAGAAAGCTCTGGCTCACCCTCCGATGCAGCAATTGACATCTGGTCGTTGGGAGGAGCACCAAAGGATACGGCTGGTACGCTCCTTGTAGAGGGCCCAGCACGTTCCATTGGCAGCTCAACTGGTTGCGGAATGCAAGAGGAGCGATGGTCCCCCGAGGATTGGTCCCTGGAGGGTTTGCCACCACGGTTATCCTCAGACCGCCCGTGCTACTGACTGCCACCATGACGAGAATTAGATTGAGGCAGAGGCAATGGAACTCCACCCCTTTGAGGAAACGGAGCTTGGCCCTCGAGTCCGAGGTGTACATCTTCCCACAATGAGTACATGACTCATCCACAAACGCCACCTCAGCATGCTAGATGCCCAGGCACGTGAGGCAGCGATCGTGACCATCACCCAGCGCCAGGTAACGACCACATCCAGAAATGCCCGGGTGATACGTTGTCTATAGCAAGACCCACATCGTCTTTACAAAGACGTAACGTCAAGTTTGCCACGCAACGTCGTCTTTAAAAAGACGCACCCATGATTGCTCTTTTAGGGAAATAGCTCTTTTAGCGTGCTGAGGCGCACAGGGGAGATGGCCGCCTGCAACACAAACAGGGGGTAGTGCAGCCTGATGTGTGCAACCCACTCGACACGGAAAACCGCCACCGCTGAAGCGCCGTCCGCCAACACGAAGAGCTCTCCAAGAGCGCGCTGAACTCGTTCAGTCTTCTTCTCTCAGTAGAGTAGTCAGGAGCAGAACGATGTGATCGCTTGGCTCCGAAGCGAAAAGCTGAATATGCCCTGCATCTGCTGCCTACTTATACTCATGCTGTGATCAGCGGCAGCTGGATGCAATAATTGCATGCCAATGTGCATTGGCTCGTTTAGTTTACACTCGAAGTAGATTGGTCTCTCTAAGCGAGATCCCAATTCATTGGTCATCCGACGTGACATCGGGAGTGACCGACTGAAAGGGAACAGTGGTTAAGAGCAGTATTCTTGTAGGGCACTTCACATCATGAGCATTACCCTATTGACTAATTACATGCAAACATACTGACTAACGGAGCATGTAAGCTTGACTGGCTGATAGGTAATCAATGAAACCTGTACACTTCACTGATTGTGTACAAATCAATCTCACACACAAGATCAAAAGAGACAATAAATTAACAGGTCAAAAACAATGCATGCACTTTTCTCCTTCATGACATACAAAGGGGATAAAATCACCATATCAGCACAGCTTGTAATCACATAGACAAGCCACATTTGGGATAAGAAAGACCAGGGCTTCGTTCTTCACATTTTGCGTAAACATAATTCTTTTTTAAAAAAGCAACATGTCAGAGCTTCTAATTTTTGTAATTTGTATCTGGCTAATTTGGTTCTTCACAAACACTTCTAGATTGAGTTGAGATAACTTGAGTAGCATTTGGTTGGTGACAATGTTTAAAATTTTATACTCCTATATCATCTAAATATATATATATATATATATAAATTTTGGATCACAAACTTAAATTTATGTTTTTATGTATGGATTGATTGATGATTGATTCATTCATTCTTTCCATATTTGCTCAAACATTATACAAATTATGGGATGATGAGATGAGATGATTCCCTTTCATGGGAACTTCGAACTGCGTCCTCTAGGGGTCGCTATGGGGAACGCCTCGTCGTGACCCGTGTCTGAAGCATACATTGAAAAAACACCAACTCGTTGGCCGGCGACAGCCATGACGTCACTACCGGTGCGACTACAGTATAAATCGGTGCCGGGAGCTACACATCATTCACTTCTTCGTCTGAAGCTTGCGTCCGCAGCATGGCAAGAAACCTAGAGGACGCAGTGTCTCGTTCCCTACTCAGGGAACCATGGTTACATAAGTAACCCGAGACGTTCCCTTTCATGGGAACTTCGAACTGCGTCCTCTAGGGGTCGCTAGGGGGAACGGTATACCCACGCCACCATGCTGAGGGGAATGCAAGCCAGAACCATGGCGAGCACTAAATACCAACTCTACCATATTGCTATGGGAGTCGCCCCTGGGACGTTAGACGGCTGTCAGTAACGTTATTCCCTACGGCCAAAGGCCTAGGCTACATACCCCAAAATACTTACCTGTTAGGGCCAGACTCCTGGGCCCGGGGTAGAGCTCAAGGCTTGGAATCAGAAACAGATTCCTTTAAGGGAATACGACCAAGAGCCTAGAATCATACTAGTCTTGGTCTGTCACACAGGGGCTACCGCACGTTTGTCTTGTGGTGAAGGAACTGTCTCAACAGATCCTTAGTAGCAATACCCTGTTAAGTAGGTATCCAGAGGATACATAGGGGGAGTGGTGCCCAAGGCAGAACCGGGGTTTTAAACCACTCAAAAAGAGCACGAAGTCTTGCGCGTAGCTCTTACCATACAGGATTTTTAGAAAAGTGGGCAAAGCATAACGTGCGCACTTACCAGCTATGTGGATTTTAGAAAAGTGGGCAAAGCATAACGTGCACACTTACCACTTATGTGGATTTTAGAAAAGTGGGCAAAGCATAACGTGCACACTTACCACTTATGTGGATTTTAGAAAAGTGGGCAAAGCATAACGTGCACTACACTTGCATACCGTTCTAGGGGTTCTCGTGGCACCCTGAAAAGGCAGCCTATAGATAAAAATAGCGTATCCCCAGACGCTATATCTACGGCTATAATGCTGGAGTGGCTAGCAGTAAATCTGTAGCTGGGGGAGAACATCCAACTCTCAATGGAGAGGGAGCTCAACCTACAGCATGTTCCCATGGTGGAACAGCTAGCAGTTATTCAGCTGAGGGAGCAACACACTCAGCTCTCAAACCGAGACGGGGCTCGACCTGCAGCAAATATTAATTATATCAGTCCATTTTAAATACATTTTCCACATCAGTCTTTGTAATCTTCAGTGTGAAATCAGTTAATAAAAGTGACTCACCTGTTTAAGGATGCCAGCTGCCATTTCATGACCACAGTCAAAGATCACATGAAACTCTTTCCCTCGTTTCATTTCTTTAAGAAGGGGCTTGGCATCTTTTGTTTCTGCTGGTAGCTGCCGGATTTTTAATCGGATGTTGTAACGAGATGGAGCCTTGATGAGCTCCTGTAATCGAATCAGACCTAAGTTGGAGAGAGAGAGAGCGAGAGAGAGAGAGAGAGAGAGAGAGAGAATATAAATAAGGCTATTACAGAATTACAGGAATAGTTCACCCCAAAATGGAAATTCTGTCATCATTTACTCACCCTGATGTTGAAAGACATTTTTTCTTTCATGGAACACAAATGGACAAGTATCGTTTATATTGTCGCCAAATATTGCCGCAGAATAACCTGCTGTGACAAGTCTGAATGTGACAAATGATATTTGTTTATTATCTTGATTTCATGGAGGAGTGCAGCCTGAGCAATAAGAAAAAGAAAAAAAAAACTCCTTTTGTGTTCAATGAAGAAAAAAAGTCAGATGACATTAAACTCCTAAATGATGACAGAATTGTAATTTGTGTGTGAAGCATTCCTTTAAATGTACAACAGAGCATCAGAAATATCATTTGGAGCCATCTATATAAAAGCTCCATTTCATTTCATTCTTATCTTTCTAATTAGATGAACATAAGAAAGCCATACGGATGGATGTTTAAAGTCATAATATTTTTGGGGAAATGAAATTGTTAAGCTGCATGGCCCCTTGCTATCTATCTCTCTTCTAACTCTCTTGCTCTCTTCTCTATTAACTACTTCCCAGTGAAATGCTGGACACTCCTGTCAATGAAATGCCACCTCCTAATGTAATGAAACATCACATTACTGCTTCAAAAGGTCATCAGCTGAAAAAAAATGATATCTAGGTTGCCCCCAAAATCCCATCGCCCTCATTTACTTCACACAATGGAGGACTTATATCTTCCTAGTTACTCAACTATTCAAGACCAAACAAGAAACCATAGAGTTAGCGTCTTCCTGGATCTATTTCCATAATTTTATGATTCAGAAGGGTGAACCTGCGTTTGCCAAGCCGCACTGCTGCGGACTCTACAGCATTATGTCACCAAAGTGTGGACACAAAAGAGGGCCGCTAGGACTGAGGGTGCCATTTGGAACAAGATCATAATTTGTATTGTTTTTGCTTGCGATGAAATTTTGTAAAATGTAAAAAATTTTTTTACATTTAACGACATTTTCAAAGTGTAATGAAGTGTGTTCAGACTAAATCTGGCAATGTTTCAATATGCTGGTTGTTGTACATATCGCAGCAGTTTGTAGCAGTTCTCTACAATTGTAAGTAGAGACAATTTTTTTTTTCAGTGAACATATGTTGGTATTTTCTTTGCTGTGTCTTGTAACCAACTTAAAGGATTAATGGAAAAACATGTCGTTACCTAAATTTTTGCTTCTATACACAAATGCACTGCAGTTTCCAGCTGAAATGAACACTAGTGGTAGATAACAACCGACAGATTGTTGTTTTTCACACAATTTATGCTTACGGTGTTGATTATTGATCAATAAAAGCTTATTTTCGAACAATACTATGTTATTATGACCTCAAAAAAGTGGCGCATCATTTGTAAACTAATAGATTTTGGTGTTTGCTTCAGATAACTAGCTCCAAATGTATGGCTTTTTTGGCATACAGTTGTAAACTTGCTCAGTAGCTCACCTGGTACAGCATTGCACTTGTGTATGAGTCCCGTGAAACACGAGTCATAAATAAATGCTCAAAGACTGGTAGAAGCAAGCTAAAATGGCATGAATACATCACCAAATGTGTTTTTTTTTTAATGCACTGCAGTTTCCAGCTGAAATGAACACTAGTGGTAGATAACAACCGACAGATTGTTGTTTTTCACACAATTTATGCTTACGGTGTTGATTATTGATCAATAAAAGCTTATTTTCGAACAATACTATGTTATTATGACCTCAAAAAAGTGGCGCATCATTTGTAAACTAATAGATTTTGGTGTTTGCTTCAGATAACTAGTTCCAAATGTATGGCTTTTTTGGCATACAGTTGTAAACTTGCTCAGTAGCTCACCTGGTACAGCATTGCACTTGTGTATGAGTCCCGTGAAACACGAGTCATAAATAAATGCTCAAAGACTTGTAGAAGCAAGCTAAAATGGCATGAATACATCACCAAATGTGTTTTTTTTTTTAAATCTCAAGTTAACACTATTGGTTAGGTGTAGGGTAGGGTTTAGTGTAAGCGGTATGTTCTTGTCAAACACGAAAGAGACTTTTAGCGCCACTCACCACTGAACTGTCACAAAACATACAACAGCCAACGTAATAAAACATTGTCAGATTCCCATTAATCTGTTTCAGATAAAGCTGAATGCACTTTTAGAGCCACTCACTGGACAGCATACAAGAAGCAACATAATACCTCTATTGCAGAAATGTCACCTCAGGCAAGTTTTTCCAATGAGCTTGGGTTGCTTGTCACACAAAGTAAGTAAGTAAATAAATATTCATCTACAAATCAGTTTGTTCACTATTATACAAATATAACTAGCTAACAATTATGTATGTAGTATCAACTTTATTTACTATCCTGCTGAACACAAGACTTTGCTGGTTTAGTGATCTTAACTGGTCTCCTTTTTTAAGGTTGGTTTTAGAGGTGTTTTTGGCCCTTTTTAGCTGGCCAGGCTGGGATACTAGCTAGATCAGATGAAGAACATCTTGGTCAGGCTGGGAGACCTTTTTAAACCAGTTAAGACAAGCTTAAATCAGGATTTCCCCTGACGGGCAAGGGAACAAAACAAGTTCTGCTGAGAGCTAACTGCCATACAATTTGCATGAATAAAAGAAACTTGACCAAGCTGGCGGTTTCGCTGATTTGGCTGGTTGGCCATCTGATCTCCCAGCCTGACCAGCAGACAAGCCCCAAAAACCTGACCAGCCTAAGCATTTTGGCCAAACTGGGAAACCAACCATCTGCCTGCTGTAATGTTTTGTTGTTTGTTTTTCTTTCTTTTTTTACAGCAGGGTTGCAGCTTCTGTATAGCCCTGCACTTGAAATACAGCTAAATGTTTGCTCCTTCTCAGTCAATGAAATTATGATTAACTTATAAAAAAGCTGGTTTTCTTTTTCATCATTGTTATGCACATGTGAAAATGCAAGAACTAAAAGGGCAATAGCCCACCAATCTATACTAATGGGTTATAAAACGTAATACTATATTCAATAATGACATAAAATGAACAACTTTTAAAATGCACACACTGTAGCAGCATAGCTTATTTAATTTGTATGCACTGATCAGATGTTTGTGATAGCTAATATGGCTTCCCGCGGGTCACTATTTGAGGCAGGTTTGCTCTTCAACTCCTTTGCGTAAATGAAAAACTGCATGTGGTGATATTTACTGATTGTGTCTAATACCTTCCAACCGTTAGTTGATTCATATTTAACAAAGCATATATATTTCATCAACTCAAACATTTATTAAAACCCGTCTGGAAGCCCAGTGATAAATATCCATGGAGAGGTTGCATCGTTCAAGTGCTCCCTGCCAAAAAACATGGCCTGTCTGACTTGTAATCCTCTGCGGTTGTCTGGTCCTTCTCCAGAAGAGTGCTGCTGTGAGCTAGTGATGTGAGATGAATGCTGCTTCCCTTTGGCGTTAATTGAAGAGGAACGTGAAAGCTGACTTCTGACTCGAAGCTCTGAACGCTCCAGACAGGAAGGTCAAGGTTAATGTAGCCTTGACTGCATTTATGCGTCACTAAATGTGTAGAACAAATTGATCAAGATTAAAATCAGGTCACAGGCAAGGCAAAATGCAAAGGTTTTACGCTTTGAAGAAACATCTACACCCCCGTTTTCTCATTAATTAACATCAGAAGCATTCTGAGATTCTGAGGAGATTTGAGAACTTCATCCTTTGAGGATAAAAGCCCCTTCTGTTAAGTTAAGATCCGACTTGGCTGTGAAGGAGCAACGAAACCTCACATGAATATCTGTGAGTGGATATCCGATGTATTCTTATGCATTTTGTTCAACTGATTTCACATCAGATGCTGGCTCTTTTAACATTAGCCTGCCTTTTCGGAGAAAAAAAACTCTTTAAAGGATTTGGCTGGAATGAAATTATCTTTAGGTTAAATTAAACTATCATTTTACCTCAGGCATAATCGTCCACTCGTTTAAAAGAGCATTATTAGTTTAAATTTAGCACATACGCAGTGAAGAGGCTCAGATTACAATGGTTGCATTAAAATGATATTAAGACTATGTATTATTCTGTAGCAATAAATATGGCAGTTATCAAAGCAATTATTAGAGCAATACAGCAAAGCCCTAAAAAATGATGCCTGTTTGGAAACATGGCACTGCAGCTGTCTAAACAATCTCGTGGCCGCTGTTAGAGCATATGATGGGCTACGAAAAGCACCACTGGATTGGTGCACTCAGGAAGAATAAATTGAAACGGATGAAATGGTTTGATGAACGCAATTTTCTTTCTTGTGCTGATGTATTGCATAGCCAATAGCCAATGTGAGGGTGGCCCAAAGGTCTCTTTTTCTAGAAGGTATTTTATTATTCCCCCCAAAAAAATGGATACAACTTCTAAAAAGTCATAAAATATTTCATATAACTCATGGGCCATATTTCACGTCCTCTCAAGTCCTACAATAGAAGCTCACGTTAACTGTATAATACTGTGAATGAGATTTGAGAGCTATACAGCAAAAGTCAAGATTTTTATTGAATTACAAAGTAAATAGTCTGTTCCTTACACAAAACCACAAAAACAAACGACTTCCAATCGACTGCATTATAAGACTGGGCGATATGAGGAGATATATATATATATATATATATATATATATATATATATATATATATATAGTATTATATGTTGTGTACTTTATATTGTATAAAGTGTCTATCTATAGAGATTTTGCTATATCGTTCATATAGTTGTATGCAAATCTGCACACTACTAAAATGTATCGACACATTGGAGTGATAAAGAAACATATTAATGAGAAAATAAAGCATAGGATAAGGATCCATGTGATATGGTAGGATAATATATTAATGTAATTATTTAATTCATTGTGAAGACTATGCATCGTAGTTCTTATACCTGAACACTACTTATAGACCTACCTGAAAAAGGTAGAGCATTATAATAATTTCATTAGCACTCTTGTTTTATTGTATTTGTCCTATTGCTTTGTTTTTTTGGTTACACTTTATTTTGATAGTCCACTTTAGACATTCTATTAACTATAAGTAACTTTGTAACTACATGTCAACTACATGTCAACTAATTCTCATTAATTTGCATCTACATGTCTACTAACTCTCAGAGTAGATTAGGGTAGGTTTAGGGTTAGTAGAATAAGTTGACAAAGAAAGTGTTAGAAGATATTAAGCAGACAGTCTACTCATACTCTACTAACTGCTAGTTGACATGTAGTTGCAAAGTTACTTACTGTTAATAGAATGTCTAAAGTGGACTATCCAAATAAAGTGTTACCGTTTTTTTTTCTTAAAATAAAAGAATACAATAAAACAAAATAAACATTTTGGACCAGTTTTTGCAGGGTAAAGTTGCTGAAATACAAGGTCTATCATTTTGCACATATTTTAATTATTTTATTTATTATTATGTCTACTGTATTATCCGAGCTGTGAAGTTAGAAAGTGATTTCACACTAAAATAATGGTATGGGGAACATTGCTTATGTCTTGTCGCTATACCTTTAAAACGGTGAGTATTTTAATGTTTACAGAATGGTACATAGAACACACTGATGGCATGTCATGTCTGTGCGAACAGGGTGCACAGAGGTATGCAAATACATATGTTGACAGGCAGGTAGGAATATTCCTTTACGACTATGTCACAGTGGTCATTTATGAGTCTTTTCTTTTGGGGCATTAAATAACTTTTTTTTATCTTTTCATTGCATGTCTATTTGTGAGCACTGTTCCTCTCTGCTGATGCGGTATGTCCATGAATGACTTATGCATAACCTATTAATGTGATTCCCTTGACACATTTAATAATTTAACAGCATTTGTTTTCTGCAATGCAGACACACGCTATGTTAGATGGCTTGCATTTGCTTTGACAACTCACATATCAAAGTATAAATGATCAGAGCTCTTTTATAGCTGACACATTCCGCTAATAGAGCTAATTTGACTCAGTGCCGCAGTGGCACTTGTATATATGAGCTACCTTAAATCTCCTTTTTCATTCCTTTGTCAAACACTGTCCGTGTTGTATCTAAAGATTCTTTACAAGCATCTATAGTTCCCTTAAGAACTTTATCATCTATGGATCCACTGGACAATGAAAAAAAGTTTTTTTAAATAGTGGGGGAAAAAAGGTTCTTTAAATTATTATAATGTTCTTTACACTAAAAATCACTGAAGGTTTCTTTGTGGACCCCAAAATGATTATTTTATGGCATCATTGCAAAGACCTATGGAAGCCCGTTTCCGCCACTGAATAAAAAATTAAAAAAGGTAATTGCGAATTTTTATCTCACAATTCTGACTATATTTCTCAGAATGGCATGATATAAACTCGCAATTGTGAGGTAAAAAGTCATAATTGTGAGATATAAAATCGCAATTCTGAGAACATAGTCGCAATTGCGCGTTATAGAGTCAGAATTGCGAGATATAAACTCAATTTTGACTTTATAACACACAATTGCAAGTTATAAAGAAATAATTGTGAGATATAAAGTCAGAATTGTAAGATATAAACTCACAATTCAGATTTTTTTTTCTCAGAATTGCGTGATATAAACTTGCAATTGTGAGTTAAAAAGTCATAATTGTGAGATATAAAATCGCAATTCTGAAAAATAAAGTCAGAATTGTGTGATATAAACTCGCAATTGCAAGACATAAAGTCACAATTCTGAGAAATAAAGTCAGAACTGCAAGATATAAACCCACAATTTTGACTTTTTTTTCTCAGAATTGCGAGATATAAACTCAATTTTGACTTTATAACACAATTGCAAGTTATAAAGAAATAATTGTGATATATAAACTCGTAATTCCGAGAACATAGTCGCAATTGCGCGTTATAAAGTCAGAATTCAGATTTTTCTCAGAATTGCGTGATATAAACTCACAATTGCGAGAAAAAATGTCAGAATTGCGAGTTTTTATCTCACAATTCTGACTTTATAACTCGCAATTCTGACTTTATAACTCGCAATTCTGACTTTATAATTCGCAATTCTGACTTTATAACTCGCAAGTGTGAGTTTATATCACGCAATTCTGACTTTATAACTCGCAATTGTAAAAAAAAATGTCAGAATTGTGAGATAAAAAGTCGCAATTTCTTTCTTTTTTTAAATTCTTTTTATTCAGTGGCGGAAATGGGCTTCCAGAAAAACCCCCCTGGGGTTTTTTTTATTTTATTTTTAAGATTGTATGGCATGTGAAGAAATGCTGTGTGCACTGCCATAAATTTCTAACACATTATTGAATTTAACAGCTGAGCAGTGTTGACAGAGCTTTGTGTTGCTGGCTGCCAGTCCACTTCTGAGCTGAGCCATTGGGGAATGCCATTACGGCTATTGATTTGCTTGTTTGCATTCGTTCATGAAGTTGTTGTACAGCATGGAAAGAAAGACTCCAGTTGTGATTCTGAGGCAGACCTCAGAACAGCCACCTCTTGTGGAATCAGTGTGTTTAACCAGAGCATTTAACCATTATCCTGTCCATCATACTGTCTCTTATTTTTAGATGTAGATCTACATGTTTAAAGTCAAAATGAATATAATTCAGCAGCTACAAATGTCGCTAGTGGTCCATGAGACATTTTAAAACATGAGTAAATAAATACTTACATATTTTTGATAGAATATTAAAGCAATAAAATGAATGTTATTGCTTTTTATGGAAACCTATTCTTGCCACTTAAGGAAAAAAACATGCTTCAGTAAATCTATTAGGTAAAACTATTAGGATAATGTCAAATTATCATAGTATCTCATAATTGTGACTTTTAGAGCAAAGTTATGACTTATTATATGTTAAAATTATGAGATAAATATAGGCATGGTTTAAAATGGTAAAAAATGTATAGCCTGAATGCACTGTAAGTCGCTTTGAATAAAAGTGTCTGCTAAATGCATAAATTATTATTATTATTATAATTATTAAAATGGCTTAAAAATGAAATTATGGCAAAAAATGCTATTTATGTCATAATTATGAATTTTAATTTTAAACTTTTTTTTTTATTTACCGCACTCGCCCTGTTTAGTTTTTTTTTTTAGCCTTTAGTATGTATTTTTGGTCTTTTTATCTCACAATTATTACTTAATATCTCACAATTTATTTTTTTAAATATCATAATTATGACTTTTAAGGTCATAATTATCATATATGGTGGAACTGGGCTTCAATAATTTTTGAACCAGTGTCGCTTGTTTTGTTTCAGAATGATTTGACATTTTGTGAACCAATCGGTTGAGTGAATGATTCAGCGACTCTCAAAAATACAATCATTTGTAACAAAACACTTTTTTTAATTAAACTGAGCATAGTGGAAATCAATTAAAAATAAAAACCGCACAATGTGGCAAAACAATGTACACATTGACACATTGTATACAACACGTACATAAATCTCTGTCTTTCTATTTATTGTTCACAACAATACGTTTTTAAAACATATAAGTCTGTATTTCAAATAAGGATGGCTTTTGTTTGTAGCTTTTCAATGAAATGAAACATGCAATACATGGATTATTAATTGTTTTATAAAACACCATATGTGAAATTCAATAATCAGTATCATTTAATCATTTGGTTTCATTTAACTTAACTGTGAATTAATCGGACAGTGAATAAACCTTTGTTTAACTAAACCTACAGTATAAGCTGTAGTAATGTTAAAGATCTTCAGTAAATCGAAGCAGTGTGCCTTGGTCCTTACTTGGGCCACATTTGTATGAACACAGTGTCACAGAATAATAGTGTGTTGTTGCTGTGCAGAATTGTGAATAAGGCTGAGTGAATGCTTTGGGAAATCTGGCAGCAAATCCTCTAGTTGGCAAGTTTGCTCCTGAGGCGACCTCTGGCATATGGCATATGTACCGCTCACTGTGGTAGCACTTGCTGCCTACTGTTCTAACAGAGCCTGTCAACCAGGGGGGTTTGGCCATACTGTAGGCCAGACGGAGACTAGGGAATGGTGCACAGTCCAGGCCAACGGGTCAGTCTGCCTAAGGACAGCTGGGGAATAATCACAACACACTACGAGCACTAAAGCGTCGAACTCTCACCTGTGCTGTCATCGTAAACCACAGTGACCGTTTTCCACTTGAAGAAGTGAACCAAGTCTAAGATGGCTCTGCTGAGGGAGGAGAAGTCTGGGTAAAGGCTGACGTAGAAAGAGTCGCGGTTGTCTGACACTTGGTGCTTCCACTTGGTCTGGATGTGCGGCACCCCCAGAGCGTTACAGATGGACTGCACCGCGTTGGCCGAAGAACTGTGGGAGGGACCGAAGATGGCCGCCACACCCAGAGAGAGCTGGTCACAAGCTGGAGACAGAGCACAAAAGGCTTATTTTCTTTCTTTTATTTTGTGATTTTGTTATAATAGAAACACCAGAGCCCGATTCATGGTTACTTCCAGCGTGCAAAGTCATATTTATTGCAACAACAGTAACAATGAACTCATTTACTTTTATACCCCATCGTTTTTTTGGCAAAGCCACTGTGCTTTAATTGCGTCTTTGTAATCTTTAAATAAACTGGCATCGAAAAAAAGCACTGTTACAGTGGCAGCGGCTAATGGAGTGTATAATCATTATAAGAGAATTCAGATGTTTCCCCAGCGTGTAAATGACAGATGATTGCAGCCTGCGAACCTGTCTCAGGGGTATCAGTAGTTCACTGAATCACCCCTTCTGACTCATTACCTAAAACCAATCAATTCTCTCTGCATATGCACCAGACGGCCACTGATGTCCCCCTGTGGTTAAATGAATTCAATCTAAAGCCCACGTCCTTCCTCATATATCTCACAGCACATTAGTCTCTGATCATGTAGGGTCTCACAGAAGACAGCTGACAGCTGGAGATGGCTTTACCTTTTCTGGAGGCCTCAAAGCTGTCGTGGATGTTTATCCTTTGGATGTCGTATGTGAGTGTGGTGTTTGGCAGTAAAGTTCTGTTCCTGTTGATTGTATTTAAAGCAAACTTAAAGGCAAGTTCTTCAGCACCAGATGGGCCACTTTCCATGGATTCAAATATCCCCCCTAAAAGAGTGAGAGAGAGAAAAAAAGAGAAAAAGACAGTTTTATTAACCTCTCACCTTCCGAACTATGCTTTCCAGAGAAATAAACGAATAGCATCATATCAATATCAACATAATATAGAAGATCAGTGAAAATATTTGAAGTATACATTCATTGCATGCTTGGATTTGTATACTAAATAAATTAGTCACATTTTTATTTATATTTAAAGTAATCGTTATTATCAATTTCTGTCATAATCCAAGACAAATGGTATGGTATTAAATGCAATTAATTTAACTTAAGATAGTTTTTTCACCCACTTAAGTAGGACTTAAGTACATATTTATATGTCATTTCATAATTACTAATGTCTTTGAATGATGGTTCAAATGTACGGACAAACTAAAATGTACTTTAATGTTATTTCTATTGAAGCTTGTGTGTTATGTATTTAAATATATTTGTAATTACACATTTGTAATGATAAAGTTGCAATTACAAAGTACAATTTAAAAATATATACATATATATATTTGATATATAAAAATATAGCAACTAACTATATTTACTTTAAAGTACATCTTAATTTAACATTATTATAACGTGTACTTTTTAAAGTGTACTTAAGTGTATTAAAACAGTCATGCAAGTAGACTCTTTTTAAGTACCATTAAGTGGCATTTATTTCATTAATACTAAATTATCTGCAAGTACAGTTTTGTTTTAATATATACGTTTAAGACTTGAAGTACACTACAAGTGCTAATTCAATAATGCTGTAGCATTTGGACCAATCAGACACACAACTTTTTGTTATATTTAACAAATAATATCTAACGCCCCCTCACCTAACCAAAGGGCCAATTACGAGGGTCTATGGACCCTTCCCCCGAAATGCACCTAGTTATGGTTAATTATTCATATTTCCTGTCATGAGCTGATTCGTTACAATGCATTTTAATACACTTCTTTTTCACAGGGGGAGGAGGGCAATATTTCACAATTTAACTTTGAGGTAGAAGCACTGTAGTGCAAAAATAGGAATATCAGCTTAAAAAAATAACTAATATGTGATATGGCACCAGTGTAGGTTAAGTGCAGTGAATGTCAAAGAATAGTGTAAGAAGTTGGAAGGAGAAAAGTATATTACTATTTGCTCTGACTCAACCCATTCGAGCGTATAATAGATATATATCCAAGCTCCTTACAGAAGGTATGTTTTTAGAGCGCAAGCTACACAACAGCTTTCCCTTTGTGAGTCTACTTGACAGGCTGTATATAAATGGATGCCTTTATTGTTGGGGACTGATGTGTTCTGATTGGCTGGCGAATCAATCAATCAAGCCCTGGGGAGCAGTGAAGCACAGCATAGAGAGATTGAAGTGTTTTGCTTGGGTCAGTCAGCAGTTTGCCCCTGTTGACTCACCATATGTCAGACTAGAGCTCGATTCGGTGTTTTACTTACACTCGCTGGAGGTTCCATCATTTAAATGATCCCCCAAGACAGTACAAATAAAAGCATTTCTCCGGCACACACTCTCTTTACATGACTCTCTACTGTCTAACATGTAGGACAAGAGCTATTAATTGGTGTTGTTTCAAATATCACCTGCTGTACAGCACAGGTTACTGCTGCAAACTGATGTGAGTGTAACAATAGTACAAGTAAAATCTGACATGAACTGCTTTGCGAAATGTAAAAATAGTACAGATGAAGAAAGGAAAAAGAGAGTAAATGAATAGAGAGTGGTTGGAACGAATCCCTTAAAGCATTTTCTGCAAAAGAAGAGGGGGGAATTGAGATGCTCGTACAAATCTCTCAGTCTTTTACAAAAGAAAGAAGAAGAGGGATACAAGATAACATAATCAAACAACCTCCCCATGTGGATTTAGGATAATATGAACAAAATATCCCTTTTTGTTGGTAAATTTGAGGTAATGTGTGTTTCAGTTTAAAAGTGTGTCTGAGGTTTTAGTCACTGTTTTTACTATCATTACTATTCATGGTTACAGCACTTCAAAAAAGTGCCTGATGAGACATTGCATGATGTAATGAGCATAACCTGTCCATTATTGTCATTACAGTGATTAAACAATTACTGAAAAAAGTGTCCATCCATCAATATTTTATGGCATGTAGCTTTTAGCAGATTTTACTGTATACACTCTAAAAAATGCTGGGTTAAAAACAACCCAATTGCTGGGTTTGTCCCCATTTTACCCAGCACTGGGTTGTATTTAACCCAGCATTTTTTAGAGTGTATATTCTAATATTATTTGTACTGTGATTTTACTGTATACACTCTAAAAAATGCTGGGTTAAATACAACCCAGTGCTGGGTAAAATGGGGACAAACCCAGCAATTGGGTTGTTTTGACCCAGCGGTTGGGTTACTACCCAGAAGGTTGGGTTAAACATTTAACCCAACCGCTTGGTCAAAACAGCCCAATTGCTGGGTTTGTCCCTATTTTACCCAGCACTGGGTTGTATTTGACCCAGCATTTGTGTGTAGCATGTATAGAAAAACTAACAATGTAATCAAATTAAAATTCACAAAAAAAAGGCTCATTACCTATATATGCTTAAAATCATCACTGTTTTAGTACTAAGCTGTAATGTAGAATCAGGTATTTTTTGTTTTGTTTTAAGTAATATTGATTTCCTGTATGAAAAGAAATGTAAGGTTACTAAAGGTCATCAACTGATATTATAACAGAAAGAGTCTGGGCAGGTAACAACAAATTTTGCCCCAGGAAATGCATTCATACATGTTAAAATATCCATCATCCATCTCGTAACTCATAGGGCGAGCTCTGACAGTGATAAACTGGGGCTTGTACGACATAATGAATCAATTTCCTGTGTGGAAATGTCAGTTTCTCAAAGAGATCTCTCAAGCACCTGACAAATGTTTTCCTAAATCTGGATTTTTCTATAGTCATTATATCTTTAAATAGTCTCCGATTACATGTAATTTACATATTGACCGTTCATATCCTCCATCTCTTTTTTACTTGATTGGGCGAGTTGTCACACATTATACTCCAGTGGATATTTCTCAGTTAGGTTTATGTTTATTTGTCAATATCAATATAGGCACATGCCTTTAAGGCTTTATAGAAGGCCATTACATTTGCACAATACAAAGGGAACATGTCATTAAACAGCCTATTGTAGAGTATACAGAAGCATTTAAACAGTAAAACAATTCTGAAATAGGAACAAATATATACAAAATATATAAAAAACATTGCTTTGGCCGACAAGTATTTGAACTGATTAATAAATTGCATAAAATTCCAGCAACATATAAAATATGAAAACTCTTTTTTTTATGTGAAAGTGATAAAAAAAAAATATTATGAAATCGATATTTATGTTATCATTATTTATAATATAATATGATGAGATTACATTATACAAATTACTAAAATGTAAGACAGTTACTTACAATAATTTATACATTGTCTGTCTAAATACTCAATTCTGATTGTCTGGATATACAGTATAATACAACAAAATAACAAAAAGCTTATTTTTATCAGTTCAATTTAAATTTTGTGCTGCAAACATCAATAACTGCCTTAACTTGTCCATGCTGGCAAGTTACTATAATATAAGTGGAGTGGATCTTTGCCTCCACATTAAAAATAATCCACCTGGATTATTTATATACTGTATATACAATTTAAGACTAGAAAAACAAAAATTATTTCACTTCATTTAAAATTTGTGTAAAATATGTTTTCGGTTGCTATATATATATGTATGTATATATATATATATATATATATATATATATACTGTATATATATATATATATATATACATACATAATGTATATATAGCATTGCATTAATTGCATGTACAGACTTAATAACCTAAACCTAAAAACCTATATTAAAGGGAATGCTATCCCGGACCTGCAGTGGCTGCTAGCGGCTCAGCGCTGCTGCTCTCCGCTGGGCAGCTGTCTAGTGAACAATGCCCTGTGCCTACCTGATCGGTCGCAACAGTCTCACACATGCCACCGCACTCGATAACACGCTCAGACGCTGTGACATATTTATCACACAGCAGCTACATAATCAATGGCAGCACAATACATCCATTTCTGCATCCACAGGGAATACTTGCTTACAACCGAGCACCATTACAGCTCAGAGGAAATTAGCAAAGTAGCGGCCATCTTCCTGTTTGAGAGAAATTAAACTGTCATTTTTCATCTAACATGATCAATCGCTGTGACCACAATGGAATTACCTGCAAAACTGGTCAATATCATACAATAAAATGAACTTTAATGACTCCATGAAATAATATGCGTTTGAGCTTTAATTTCATGGGTGTTCTCAGTGCACAAAAACATGTTATAATATTTTTTTTGCTAATGTTCACATTATTTATCTGAAGGTTCAAAATGTCCAGTTTTTTAAATGTAATAAAAATTCATATTTTTTTTCTTGGTTATACAAATGTTAGGGGAACATTCCATTTCATCATTCTGCAAACACCATGTTTTTTTTTTTTGCTTTCTGAAACAAGTTATAACTTTCAAAATCTAAAATGTTTTAAAAGAAATATGTTCCATGAAAAATGTTTCAATAAGGGTTTTTTGAGAATTTTGAGAACATTGTCAAAGACCAGATCTATTAATGTCACTAATGATTTTTTTCATAGCTTTATTATTGCCAGAACTGTATTCATAGTTCTGAGAATGTCCCTGTTATGTATTTATTTATTTATTTGATTCATTAATTCATGCATTCATTGAGAACATTTACATGTCCCATACATGCATTTAAAAAAAGCCACTGTTTTCCATTATCCAAGTGATTGCCTACATTTTTTTTTTTTTTTAATTAAAACTTTGAAATGACCAGTTTTATATATAATATAAAATTAAAAAATATATATTCTTTTAGACTGACTATCAGATGTGCTTTTTATTTTCTGTTTGCTATTGTTATCTCTCTTAATATAACACATTGCTTGGAAATCTTCTTGGCAATCTCTT